AATAATCTAGCGCTTACCTAGCTCTACTACTTTAATACGCATGCAAAGCTAGTTAGGGTCTACCAGCTACTTATTATTAACAGCTATAAGAGCCACTGCTTAGTAACTTTCTAAGATCTCTGCAGAGAGAAGAAAATAATCACTCTCTGTATGCCCCTGCACTCGTCGCACCTGTTGCAGCCACTTAACGTCGCCTGCTTCTCGCCACTAAAGCGCCTGTATAGCGACGAGGTTTCGGCCTTAGCACACAGTTGCATCTACTATATTAACAAGGAAACCTTCCTACTAGCCTTTAAATTAGTATTTAGTAAGGTGTTTACTAGAGAGAACATTTGCGCAGGCTTTAGAGGTGCTAGGCTAGTCCTACACAACCTAGAGATAGTGTTATTAAAGCTTAATGTGCGCCTGCACACGCCAACGCCACTAAAACCTAGCAACATTGCCTAGGAGCTAAAGACACTACGCACTACTTACAAAGTAGAGGAGCAGTTAACTCTAATTTAAAAGCAGATTTAAATCTATTAAGGGTCTCTAGCAAGTTTGTTAGATAAGTAGGTTAAATAGTTAGCAAAGGGTGCTTAGCAGATAGCTTATAATATAGTGTTAATATAGGAGGAAATAGGCTACCTTTAAGATACTATAGAAGTGTCTATAAAGTATAAGACCTGTAAGTAATAATATATATATATAGAGGAGACCCTTATAGTTAGTAAAGTAGCTAACTTAATTACTAAAAAGGAGGGTAGGAGTTATAGTAAGGGTAAGACACCTATAAAGAGGGTGTATATTAGATAACACTATAGGTGTTATAGTAAGATTAGACATAATTCCTACACTTATAAGGTAGAAATAGAGGATATAGATAATAGTAAAGCTTCTAAATAATACTATCTAGGCCTATAAATAATTATTTATTTGTGTTGTGTTGTGATATAGCGCTGCGCAGGCGTTCTGTTGTTGAAAGTGCGGCGCTCAGTTGGGTGCGGCGCTTGCTTGTGAAACACGTTATACTTTATAGACGCTTCTACAGCGTCTTAAAGGTAGCCTATTTCCTCCTACATTAACACTATATTATAAGCTATCTGCTAAGCGCCCTTTGCTAACTATTTAACCTGCTTATCTAACAAACTTGCTAGAGACCCTTAATAGATTTAAATCTGCTTTTAAATTAGAGTTAACGTACTCCACAAGCGAGCTGGCCACCCAAGCGAGCTGGCCACTTTTGCCAAGACTACACCGAACTTCACTCTCCCTGTAATGCCTCAACGCAACAACATGAAAAAGCCTTTAAATAAAACAGATATACAGCTTGCCCTTCAGGCTATCTAGCAAGACGTGACACTAAGCGTGCAACATGCTGCAGCAATATACTAGGTCTCTTAAAGCACCCTAGGCACGTGCCTTACTACTAGAGCCTCTTTACAACGCGATTGCAAGCCTAATATAATAAGGATAACTAGTTGTCAGATGCTCGTACTGTGAGCCAGAGTATGTGCTTAACGAGATCTTAGGTGGTATGATGATTTATTGATGATCGTGGCGATGGTGTTTCTGTCGCGCGTTGTGCTCATTGCTACAGGATTGAAGTGGGGGGGGAATTAGCGCTGTTCGCGGCCGCCTGTGTGCGGGCCAATCAGGAGTTGCCAGGTCTCGCTTAATCGACCTGGCAACTGCTGATTGGCTGCGCGACAGGTCCCTGCTCGATTGCGCATATCCGACCTCTCGCCGCTCGCTCTTATCTGACAGTATCTCAATGTTGTGATGTTCCAGGTGGCTCATCGGCTGAACTGGCTCATCGGGCGCACGGCCACGGTATCCTCTTACGGCGTGTATGGTTTGGAGCGATGTGCAGACTCGCTGTACGTACTATATTACACCATAAACTTTTCCCACGTTAAAGTTCAAGACTCAATCAACCTTCTATTCCGCTCATTACCTCGTCAATAAAGGCACTTGGCAGAAGAAAGATGCCCGTGCCACGAATGGCACGAATCGTAAGCCCCAGAGATCCCATCAGACTGCACATAGCGAAAATACGAGAGAGGTTCTGGCTGACGATGTAATATATGAGAAGTAAGGTACAGAGCGGCGCAACAAGACTCGCCGCATCCCTGCACATACGATGGCGTGCCCTAGAGCAGGATGCTCACTGTCCCTGTTCCTCGGTATACGTATAAATTCGGTTTTCCGGGGTACTGAGAGTATCTGGATCATCTTTTTGTACAGAATCGAATGTATTGAGACTGGATGCGATGGTTGGGGTATCTCGGGTTTTACTCGTCCATCATCGGCGTACTCGCGCGAATATCGGCCTAAATGCTTTCTCTTACCTAATAGCGTTGACAATTATTTCCATGATCATCACAGTTGCTGTCAGGCGTCAGATACTGTCCACAAGACTCGCACTCACAGAAATTGAGCCTGGCCTGACTTCGGAGGTTGCTCCAAGTGCTCACTATGTTCGTCGCGCTGTGCAGACTTGAGCGCACATTGCCACGAGACTTACCAGCTTGTATGATAACAGCATTTGTGAGTTCCCGGCTGATTCACTAATTGTCATCTGCGACGCGCCGTTAATCCGGGGTGCATGGTGCTTGGTCTGGATCCGCGCTGGTGACGTGCGGCCATCGTGCCTTCCTTTCCTAGTGTCCGTGTTTACCTTGGACTTAAGCTTCTCAAATCTCTTCTTCTGACCTCTCACCCCGCCTACTCAAGCTCAGGCTGCTGTCAGCTTCACTGTGAACGTCTGTTCTATCACCACGCCAGCCCCAGGAACGACTGTCGATTGAGCTCCTCGTTCACAATGCCGATCTGGGATCCTCTCGTTCCTGCTGAGCGCGTCATCCAGAGAGGGCTTTCTCATCTGCCACCATGGATTAGCCGTTGGCTTGGATACCGTGGGACATCTCTTCCTCCTTCTCGTACCTGGATAGTCTGCCTTTGGGGATTCATCGGCGCCTGGGCAGGCGTTGCCTCGATCATCGCCGTGTTTGCCCACACCAACTTCTTCCACAACATACATCTTGTCCCACCGATCGTAGCCTCGTTCGTAAGTGTACGCAAACCACACCCAAACAACATTACTAATCCCCATACCAGGGTGCGTCTGCGATTCTTTGTTACGGCGCCATCGACGTCCCTCTGGCGCAACCTCGCTCCCTCGTCTTTGGCCATTTCTTCAGCGGACTCGTTGGTGTAATCATGGCAACCATTTTCCAGTTCGACTTGAAAGAAGATCCCTACCCGCAACTTCAATGGCTGGCAGCAAGTTTGGCTACCGCCTTTGCCCTTGTCGTGATGCACCTCACCAAGACGACCCATCCTCCAGCTGGTGCCACAGCCTTGATTCCCTGCGTGGATCCCCACATCTGGGCTCTGCGATGGTACTACTTGCCAGTACTTCTCCTATCATCGATGATTGTTCTCGCGACCGCCTGTCTAGTTAACAACCTTCAGCGACAATACCCCAAGTTCTGGGTCGCGCAGATCCCACTGCCACCTGCCACCCCCGCTGCGCCTGCACTCAAGCCCACGGTAGAGGACAAAGCTACCGATCGATCTAGCAACAGCTACACCTCAGGGGATGTGGAAAGGGGTCCATTATAAAGCTAGGAGTCGTCTTTCGTATCAGCATTTTCCACTTCATCTATTAGCGAGAGAGTTTGGCAATCTTGGGTATTGAGCTCACGAGAGATCTTTCTGCTGCAAGACTTTCGGGACAATGTTGCTTATATTGGCATCTTACGTAGTAATGATACATTTTAGCAAATGACACATGCCCTGAGCGCTCTGTCACCTTGGCTTCATCACAGCAGACTAATTCTCCACCTTCAACGCTTCGGCTATCATCTCATCCGCAGCCTCGACGCCTTTCGTGAAATTCTTACGAAGACTCTCGAGCGACCCAAGAACTCCGATCTGTAATGCAAAGAGATACTCGTTTCACAGCGGTTCCTACAGATTCTCCTCAAGCACGATAGAAAAAAGTCTTAGTCCGCCTGTTCAGCTACGCAAACTCCAGCTTTCGTCGCTCGATAAATGACCTATCCCAGTCTTCCTCTGGCTTGCTGCACTCAAGCACCCACATGACGACTTGCTTCGCATACTCCAGCTGCAGCACGTCGAGCTCTGACAGATGTGGGCCGTGCAGCTCCACAATAGCCTTGAAACACAGGACCTGGTATTCACACTGGTCGAACTCGGGAGTGGAAGGCGGCGGTTGCTCCATCTTCAGTGTCTGCCTCCATGTATCAAGACCCCAGACTTGGCTCTGAGCGAAGCTTGTCTGGAGAAGAATAAGACGCGGTGACGGTACGTACGATAGGAGTGGCGTTCATGAAGACTACAGGCGCAGGCATGGCGAGTGCAGCACCTACAGGTGTGTGCGATGGTGGGGCGGTGGCTTGTTTGGCATTGCGCCGGTTTGCGTGGCGGCGCTCTCGTGGAGATGGGCGGGTGGTCATGATGGTTGTACGGGCAAGAAGGGTGAGTGGTGGGGACAGGAGTTTTCTGGTGAGCGAAATGTTTGCCTAGAAAAAGTTTGCATCCGAGATGTGAAAGGGAAGCGAAAGGTACGCAAGGTTATGCTGCCTGACTCACGCGTTGCAAGAATATCTCTCAAAAACAGCGGAGGCACAACCTTAAATCGCTACGAAGCATTCGTTTTTTTATCATTTGCGTTGTAGGCCAAATGTATGTTTGCTGTGTTGCTTTGGAAGCTGGATATATATGGGAAGGAAGTAGGGTAACGTGGTTCACAAGCGAGTCGCCCACCCAAGTGAGTCGTCCACCAAACACCCGCGCCGCGCCTACGCAGCAGTGCAGCGCAGCACTACAATAAATTACAATACTACACATAACATTATAATATTATTTAGAAGCGTTGCTATTATCTACATCCTTAATTTCTACCTTACAGGTGTAGGAGTTGTGCCTAATTTTGCTGTAATAGCTGTAGCACCTCTCTGCGCGCACCCTCTTTGCAGGCGTCTTGCCCTCCTCACAACTACTACCCTCCTTTTTAGCAACTAGGTTAGATACCTTACTAACTATTAGAGTCTCCTCTACGCGTATATACTGCCTTTTATAGGTCTTGCGCTTTGTAAGCATAGTAATAGCGTCTTATAGGTAGCCTATTTCCTCCTACACTAACACTATATTATAAGCTATCTATTAAGCACCTTTACTTAACTACTTAACCTACTTATCTAATAAACTTGCTAGTAACCTATAATAATTTTGCATGTGATTTTAGATTAGCGTTAACTGCGCCTCTATCTCGCAGGTGTTGTGTGGTGTTTGCGCCTCCTAGGCAATAGTGCCTGGTGCAGGTAGTGTTAGCGTACGTAGCTGTACATCAAGCTTTAATAACACAACCTTAGGGTTATATAGGGCTAGCCTAGCGCCTTAAAACCCTGCGTAAACATTCTCTAGTGTAAACATCCTCTTAAAAGCTACTTTAAAGGCTAGTAGGAAGGTTTCTTTGTTAATATAGTAGATGCAGCTGCGTGCTAAGAGCAAGATCCTGTTGCTGTAGTAGCGCTTTAACAGCGAGTATAGGACAATGTTAAGAGGCTGCAGGAGGTGCGATAAGTGTAGTGGCATGCAGAGAGTAATAATCTTGTTCTCCTTGCAGTAGTCCTGGAATTCTATTGAGCAGTGGCTCTTATGGCTGTTAATAATAAGCAGCCTATATGCCCTAGCAGAGGTTACCTTTATATAGGCGTTAAAGTGCTTAAGCTATGCTATTATAATATTGTTATTAGTCTAGCTAGTAGGAGAGACTATAACAACCTAGTTATAAGGTAGACTTGTAAACTAGGAGGAGATTAGGACCTTGCCTGCAAAGATAAGGAAGGGTAGGATAATACACCCTATTATAGTAACACCTTATACTAGAGTAACCTACTTATAATTACTAGGCTGTAGTTTCTTCTATTTCCTAGGTTTTTCTAAGCCTGTAATAACAAGCTAAGAGGATATCTTGCCTATTATAAAGCTAGACTTATTAAAGTTCTAGGTGTCCTTATCTGTAATACTATACTTTGTCTTTATTAATTGAACTAGGCTAAACTAGGGCTAGATAAGCGCTAGGTCTTTGTAGGCAGCTTGCTGGCAATTGTACAGACAGCTCTATCGCGTGCGCAGCTCTAGTGTACGCTTAATGAAGTTATTAACCTAGTTCTTGCCTGTAGGCTTCCTACCACGCTCCCTTAGCAGTCTATTAGCTATATCTTGTACATGCGCCTTTAAGGGCGGTATTCCACGTAGACTCTCTTTAAGTATACGCTGTATAATCGCCTCCTCTTCTAGCTTTGTAAGGCGCTTTAATTTTAGCTTGCAGTTGTGTTAAGGGCGTTGTCCAGCGCGTTAGTCTCAGATTGTTGTTTATGGGATGTTATAGACTGCTGCAGTGCGTCTTTCGCTCTATATCTGCTTAGACTTAATATTAGAGATAGCAATAAATATATCTCCTTTAGTATAACGTACTCTATCACCGAGCCGGTCATATCACCAAACCGGTCAAAATCTCTTGGCGCGCCCAACTTATGTTGCGGCAACTTGAATTACTCGCTATTAAACAGTGATCCAGCGTACTGCGTGCTTTTATCAGATTCAGAATCTTCTTCTGTATCTTTCTAACACGTTCGAGCGTTGTGCCCTGTGCCTCCACAGTTTCCACAGCGCCGTTGGGCTAACTGGGTCCTTTCTTGAGTACCTGCACCACGAGTCTTCTTTGATGGCTGAGCTGCTACAGACACCTCAGCAGCTACCCGTGATGCTGCTGGGCCATACTCAAGTGTGCCGCCATGCTGAATTTGCTTTCGCTTGCGCGACTTTCTCCTAGTCATGACTGCTAATTGCTCTTCAAGCTCAGTAATGCGAGCAGCTTGCAGCGCGTTTTGGTGCAGCATTAATTCACCACCTTTGATAAGCTGAGAGAAGCCAGCCTGGGCTGTAACTGGTGACTGAGTAAAGGAGTCATGTACAAGCTTTGACTGAGACCTAAACTCGTGTGTATTGCTTGGAGTCCTTGACTGCCACGGTGTCTCTGGTAGAGGGGGTGCTGGTGGGGTACAGTGTCGCACCTCAAGGCGATCTAACACTACCTGCGCGTTAGTAGGGACTAGCCCTGATGCCTCAAAGGCCTTCTAACAGTTGGCCTTTGTAAACACGTCAAGAAACGCGTCTCTAAAGGCTGGAAGGAAGCCTTCCTTGTTGATGTGGAAGACGCGTCGGCGTGCCAAGTCCTGGACGCGTTGGGAGTACTTGCGCTTCAACGGTGAGAAACAGACCACGTCAAGCGGCTAGAGGATGTGTGACGAGTGAGCTGGCATACAGAGAGTAAGGATCTTGTTATCCAGGCAATAGTCCTTAAAATCCTGGTTAAGGTGGCTCTCATGGCCGTCCAAGATGAGTAGCCTGTATCCCCCTACCTGACGCGCTCTTGTATGCGCGTCAAAATGCTTCAACCACTCAAGGCCAAGCGCGTTGTTCGTCCAGCCGTTCTCAGAGACAGAGAGCTTCCAATTGTGTGGTATATCCGTCTCCTCGTACCAGGCAGAGATGTGGATGCGTCCTTTGTAGATGATGAAAGGCGGGGTCGCATATCCAGCAGCGCAGATGCTCTGTATAACTGTAACCCACTCCCGATCGCCTGGCTGAACAAGCTCAGGTCGAGCGCGTCTCTCAGCGCCTGTGACAACCTTCATTGACCCTATCACGCCCATCTGGAACCCAGTCTCATCAAAGTTGTGCACGTCATTATTGTGGATGCCATACTTGGCCTTAGTACCCTCTACTAGCATAAACCACGCGTTGATTACCTCAGGATCTTCCTGCAGTATCCTCTGTCTGTCCTTTGCTCGGTTGAACGCCATCTTGAGCTGATCTGAACGCGTTACAAATCTTGTAGCCCAGAGTTTACCAACAGGCTCCCCACCACGCACACCCAACAGTTTATCAGCCATATCTGCCACCTCACACAGCCGAGGCGCAAATCCTCGCGAATTGAGGTTAAGGATATATCGGACAATCGTTTGCTCTTCAGTTGCAGTGAGCTTCTGGCAGTTTGCGCGTACGTTGAGTCGAAATGGAGTATTGCTAGCGCGTTCAGAGAGCCTGCGTTGGTTAACGTTGAATGCAGCAGCAGCAGCCCGATGGCTCTGAAACTGTCCGGTATTGTAGGCCTGGAGAGCAAGCTGCAGTCTCCCTTCGTGTTGAAGCAATAGGTCGTGATGTTGTTGAGACATACTGTGAAGTGCGGAGTTGTGTTGGTCTTGGCAGATTTTGACCGGTTCGGTGATATGACCGGCTCGGTGATAGAGTACGTTAGGTCTTTCGCATGTTGCGTTGTTGTGGCATTACGCGTTGTTGCTGCGCAGGCGGGGCGCGGGTGTTTAGTGGGCGACTCACTTGGGTGGGCGACTCGCTTGTGAACCACGTTATCGTATACTGAGAACGCTAATTTGATAACGGAGGCGACCTACGCATGTGGCTGCGAAACGGTCGCTATGTACCAAAAGGAATTCTGCTCTGGAGAGGTTACAATCTGTCCAACATGCTGGTGATAGTCAGCCAGCTGGCAAGTTCATCTCCACTCTGCCGCTCCGGCTTTGAGGTGCTGTTATCGAGAACAGGTTTGGAACGATCTAGCGTAGGCAGGACTCTGGTCGTACTGTCTTGCGTCATGCTCACGCTACTGTCCACTCTAGCTGGTTGAACCGGCTTTCCCATTGTTAGAACATCTCAGGCAGCTGGTCACGAGGTGGAGTAAGCGTTTTGCAAACAACCCATAGTGCCATAGCACCAGGCATATGAGAACCACAAACCTAAGCCTGTGACTTCCTTAAATACCAAACACTTGTGCACACACCAAAACCGTTACACCAACTTTCAAATCCACAATATTTACGTTTGACTATGCTACAGTCCAGCGACCAATACCGCTGTATCGGAAAGGGCTTTTGCGGTGGTATCTGGACTCTTGGAAGCTGCCAAGACAATGATGAACGACAAATCGTCATGAAGCGCGAAGATAGCAGGCCTGGCCGATCTGTCACGAACGACTACAACACGCACCTCCAACTTCTCCAGAGCGCACTTCAACAGCCTCCCTCGATGACTCTCTCAATATCGCGGTATCACAAGTTGTCACACAATCGAGCACCTCAATTGAGGGTGTGGAGCTTGCCGGCCTGGATAAACTGGAAGGAGTGCCTCCGGGTCTAACCAGAAGCTCGTTTTATCCGTTCTTCGTTAACAAGCTGCCGGATAATTGGCCAGCTGCTTGCTTATCCAGGATCACGTGATCCACACATATATTCTATGTATATAAACCTTACTTTTGTGATAGGATAGATAGCCACTTATTAAATACTATTAATCACCTAAGTATAGTCCCACAGGCTCTGTGACAGTTATGAGCCTAGCTTCCTAAGAACAGTAGATCTCCCTGCGCACTTAGCCAATCAAGCTTGTCAGACAAAGCTTAGCTGCTCTAATTAAACCTAAATTCAGAACACACTATCAACGCTATTATAGGAAAGCTAGCTAACTATAGCTTACACGCTTAATTAGCTATCCCCATTGGATAAAGTTTTTCGAAATCCGGCCCAGACTGGCTGTTGCTGACAGTTGTGGCATAGTCGTGCAACAGCTGTTTAACAGCCTTAACAGCCCCAATTTGCGCCTAATAGCCCTAATTTCACACTAATATTACTAACAGCTAAAATACTAAGTGCCTATATTTAATAAACTTAAAATAATGTTACAATGTTGTTGTATAGCTACCCTTAACGTACTCTATCACCGAGCCGTGTAACAACGCTCTACGAACAGTGACCCGATACCACTAGGATACGGTTCTAGTGACTCATGACCATGGCCCTTGTTGCATAGCATAAGCTCACACTAAACTGCCACCAAACCCTTATATATAAGGAGTAAGGAACTGTAGCATTGTAGAGTAGTTTTTCTATATCCTTTTGTACAAGACCTATAGGTGTAGAGAATATATCCTAGTGTTCTTATCATCCCAGCACTCCTATATGCCTCGTAGCGGATTCACACCTATTCCGGATATCTCTCTTCTTGCCTGCGTCGTTACAAGCCGGTCATATCACCGAACCGGTCACTTAAAATCCCACTAAAAAACACAGAAACCATACCCCTGCATCTCAATAACTACTTAATAGAATCTTCTAAAAACTTTAGAATAGAGCTATATCTATACTAATAAAACTATTTAAAAGTCTTAGACTAATAGCTAGTATAGATGTTAAGATAGCCTGCAGCTACCCCTATATTTTAGTATCTTCTAAACAACATCTGCAATATAGGGCTAAGCACTCTAAGACTTTTAAATAGTCTTATTAGTATAGATATAGCTCTATTCTAAAGTTTTTAGAAGATTCTATTAAGTAGTTATTAAGATGCAGGGGTATAGTGTCTGTGTTTTTTAGTGGGATTTTAAGTGACTAGTTTAGTGATATGACTGGCTCGGTGATAGAGTACGTTAGTTCTACTAGCACTAGTATTAAATATTTAAAAATTATAAAATTTTATGTACAGATAGAGCGAAATTGTAGCTTTAAAATAAGCAAAAAATTATTATTATAGGCCTACTACAACGCAAGTTATAGAGTGTTGAAGGTTTGTTTGTTGAAGGTTTGTGTTTTGAAGTTGCGACAGCACACCATGGCAGCTGCAGCTGCGCCAGCACACAATGTATCAGCTGCAGCTGCAACAGCACACGACGTAGCAGCTGCAACAGCACACAACAAAGCACCTGCTAACAAGCACACACTGCAGAACAGGCAGACCTAGGCATAGAATTCTTAGTTTACCTACTATTCTTGAATAATATTCTTGTATTTTCTAACATTTAGGCTGCTAGTGCCCTAGCAAAGAATCTTAACTTAGTGTCTTAGTAAGGAATATTAAGCTTAAAACCTTCTATACTTAATAACTAGTCTATTAATAGGCCTATAATATTATTTAATAGCTTATTTTAAAGAGGAGACTTAGTAGTATATTAATATAATAAAAGTATAGTTTATTAAGCAGAGCTACTATTATAGCAGGATTAGGAGTTATTATAGCTATTACAGCTATTAGGACTATTAGAGCTGTTATCTTGAAATTAGCTAGACATTAAATGCACATTAAATAACTATTGTAGGCCTATAAGTCCTACTGTTGCCCACAGTACAATGCCACGATTTCCTGATTTCAACAATAGAAAAACTTTTCCTGATGCCTATAGGTACCTTCTAACTTAAAACAATAACAGACTAGCCTAACTAGTACATCTAGTTTACCTAGCACGCTAAACTAAGAGATGTGTGGGAGCTAGTTAACCTAGATGCTCTGGATGCTTCAGGAATGCACGAAGGAGCTCCTAAGCTACCTCTCATGAGCTCAGGGATGGAGTTTGGAGCTGCTAAACAGCAGGCCTTCAGCTCTGCTTATAATAATAGACCTCTGGCTTACTTAAACTGTAGTTAGTCCACCTACCTAATTAAACCTTAAACACTATAAGGCACGCCTGCCTCTACGAGCCCTAAGGCATATTTACAGGAGCTCGCTTAGTATAAGGTTAACGTGATCCACCATCGCTTCGGCCACACCATCGATTCGGCCACCCTGATGTAGCTGCCCACCTCTCAACCATAATAACTTAACGCCACAACAAGCAATTAGGATGAAAAATATATATAATTACTTACCTAATTTAGCTGCATTTCTTCTACATGTGCGCATATTGTGGCCTGCGTTGCCGCATCCTTTGCAGCGTGGAGTTGACCGCCTGGTGACACCCGCCAGCCGCCTCTCTGCACGCCTCTCCTCAACCACCTGCTCCGCCACCTCCCTCTTAGCAATTATTACCTCTGCCTCTGCCTGTGATAGGGTCCCTCCTTCCTAGATACGCTTTTTTTGCGACTTTTATGTGCAGAAGCAGCGTTGTTAGCTGCCTCTAAGTTGGCAATCTGAGCAGCCAAAAGCGTCTAAGAATAAACTATTATTTCAGCTCCTTTCTAGAACTGCCACACTATCTTAATTATTAAAGCTAGAGATGAGCTGCTATGCGTTCAAATCCAGTTTAAGAGTAAGGTTGATTGTGCACCTATCTTAAGCACATTGCTTAGAGTCCTTAGTTGCCAGGAGGTGGTAGTTAGCAGAGGTGGAGTTAGCGTACAAAGCTTCATATTAAGCTTTAATAGCACCACCCCTAGGTTATCTAGAACTAAACTAGCTGCTCTAAAGCTAGATCTAATATTATTAGACAAGAAAACACCCTTATACACCTTACTATAGGTGTCTAGGAATGCTTTCTTATTAATATAGTTAATATAGCTGTTTACTAAGGCTCTAATCTCTTTCTTGTACGCACGCTTTAATATAGTAAAACAACCTATATTAAGCAGCTAAAGGAGGTGTAAGGCATAAGTAGGCATGTAAAGAGTAATAACCTTACTTTCTTTACACTTGTTTTAGAAAAAAAGTAATTAGTAGCTCTTATAGCTATTAAGTATAAGCAGTTAGTAACTACTAACTATATGCACATTAGTATGCTTTAAAAAGTGCTCTAACTAAGCTAAACTAATCTTATTTATTATCTAGCTGTTCTTACTAACAGCAATCCTCTAGTCCTTATCTTTTTAGTAGTACTAAGCTTAGTTGTGGTGCTTTCCTTTAAGTATAAAAAAGGGTGGTATAGACTACCCTATAGCGTTAATACTAGCAATTAAGGTTATCTACTTATAATTGCTAGGTTAGACTCTAAGTAGCTTTATGCGCCTCTCTAACGCAGTAACAACTTTAATAGACCCTCTAACGCCTATTTAGAAGCCTGTCTTGTTAAAGTTGTAGGTATCTTTGTCTAGGATACTATACTTAGCTTTAACATTGCGCACAAGGTTAAACTAGGGGCTTATAACCTTAGGATTGCTGCAGAGGACCCTCTAGCGATCGCGCAGGCAGGTAACCTGCGACTTGACGTCAGCGCGCTGGCTTACAAGCTAGGAGACCTAGTTAGTGCTAACCCTCCCTCTATCGCGTATAGCAAGCAGTTAGTTGGCCATATCTCAAACGTACAGAAGCGTAGGAGCAAATCCTTGCTTATTAAGCTTCCTTATTGTTTGTATAAGTACCTCCTCTTTATACTTTAAAAGATTTAAGTAGCTAGGGTAGAGATTGCGTTGTGCAGTTATGCTAGCATGTTGGTTACTAAGGGTGCTTTAAGGAACGTTGTAGATAGTAGCAGCACGTCTTATACTTAATAACGTGTTGCATTTAATAGCTTTAAGTATAAAGAGTATTCTATTCTTATAAGAAAGCAGCTTAGGATTAGGTAGTTGCGGCATTGAGTTATGATGTGGAATGTGAGGTGTGCTTGGCAGGGTGGCCGAATCAATGGTGTGGCCGAAGCGATGGTGGATCACGTTAGGTTAAGTAAATAGGCAGTTAAGGCAGAGCGCCTTTAAAAGCTTTGGAACTAGGTTAACGCTACTATGGCCCTAGTAATTATCTCACTACTAGTGATAGTGTGGCTTGTTTTAAGCAACAGTACTACCCTATAACTACTTATCTAAGCCCTAAAGCAGAAGCTTGCTCCTACTTCCCTTAGTACCAAAAATTAGGTTAGAGCAGAATATTAAGCTTATCTTGGAGCAGCTAAACAAGGATAAACTGCTCCTTACAACTAGTACTAGAAATGGACATACCTCTATATAAGAGCCAAGGCTTACAATCTTGTAGAGGTTAATAGGGAGCTTGCTATTTAAGATTTCTTAGATGCCTTAAGCTACTAAATTGCCCTAGAGTAGGCTTGTACTATACAATAAAGGATTATCTAGGAAACTATCCCAGGGCTTAAATCGTTTACTTTAGACTAAGTAAATAGGGTCTTTAGTAGGCTAATGCATAAGCATACTATTAAATTAGAGAAGGATAACCTAGGAGTATTTGCAATGTTAAGTAACTATTCTAATACTTAAAGCGCTCCTTAGGGTAACTCTAACAGCTCTAAAAATAAGGAGAGATATGTAAAGAAAGTAGGGAAAGGACTAGAATACTTTCTTCCTAGTCTAGAAGAAACTAGACAAATCTAGACTAGCTTTGTCTAAATAGGAAGCGTATAGCCTAATAGAGGTAAGGTAGGGTTATGTAATATAATAGACAAGTTCTTATATTAGATACTAGGTAGAGATTCATAGGCTAGGTACAGAGCAAACAGAGGGGGGAGAGCTAGAGGTATTTATGCTTCCTCTCCTCTGTCTGTATTTCTAAGCAGAACGTTCTAGACTCCTCTAGGTAGGTCTACTTTGTAATCTATGCTTAGTATTGCTGCATATGCAAGTAAGAT